CCATATCCCATATCCCATATCCCATATCCCATATCCCATATCCCATATCCCATATCCCATATCCCATAAATACACAAAGTTACATGGCAAGACATGACTGTAACCAGCTCTTGATCAATCGACTAGTTTCACACATTTCCACTCGTCCATCTCATCTGTAGCCCAGCCTCCTCCGTTTCCCTTCTCTTTCAGCCGACCCCGAGCCCAAGTCAGGTTCGAGACGGTCCGACTTCCGCACCAGGCCTGATAGCATGATGATGGCCATGTCTTTCTCAGTCCCGGTCCAGTCCTCAGAAAGGGTGTAAGAGAACCGGTGGTGTGACGAAGGCGGAGCGGGTACCGATGGAGGGATGGGTGCTAGTATATCAGCTGGTACCAGTGGATGATTGAGTGCTGACAGTGGTGATGTCTTGACATTATCAGCATAGGGACGGTCCGACTTCCGCACCAGGCCCGACAGCGCGGTCATGGCCATATCCTTCTCAGTCCCGGTCCAGTCTTCAGATTGGGTGTACGAGAAGTCGGGCGGTGCTGGCAGTGGTGGTATGTTAACATTGTTAGCATAGGGGTTCTCTGGCTGTGGTTGACTCGGAAAGAGGATGCCGTAAATGGTATACCAAACTTGCTCCGGGGTGCTTGTTGGTCGCTTCCGTCGAATCTCGTTGTATTGTACCTCGGCAAACTTTTCTGGATACGGACAGTTTACCATCAGACACCGGTCGGTACGTATATGCGCGTCCCTAAGGCTCTTATTATCGAACTCAGTAAAACAGCGGACGCAGTGGATCCCACGCCAATGGACACGGAAAAGGTGCTGCTTGAGACGAGATATATCTGGCCAGATTCCCCTTGTGCACACGCGGTATTGCTTCTCATGCTTGTTGTGTTTAGAGTACCTGGACTTATCATGCTTCGCAAATGGGCAAGCGAACAATTTTTCCTCAGTATGGCGGGAGTCCAGGTTCTGGATGTTGAGTTGAGGCAGGTCTTCTAATTTCGTTCTGAGAGCAGCGGCCATGGAACTCACGGGGCTATCTTGTATGCCCGCCGGTATTGCAGCTGTCTCTGTCCTATCTCGTATGCCCGCCGGTATTGCAACTGTCTCTGTCCTATCTCTTGCATCGTGCCCGAAGTGCCGCTGCCGAGATCGCAAAGCGCTCAGTGCATTGTCGGACAGTCCCATCTCACGGTCTCGTAGGCCGGTAAGGAGATTGAGATTCGGGTGGGCCATGACCTCAGCTCAGTGGGCGGTGTACCTCCCGTCCCTAATCAACGGTAATAACAATACGGAGGACGGAGTCTGAACTCGGCAGTCTTTGCGTGACTGGAATAGTAATAATGGCTCAGACGCCGGTATTGGGACGGTGACGGTGACGGACGTCACTCGTGCAGCCTTCCGTCCGTTCTGGGAAGTTGATGTCCAAGCGTAGGCTCGGCTCGTCAAGGTAGAGGCAGAGGTTGAGAAGGGAGGTCGACAGTCTTTGTTTCTGGAAGTCGGTGCTCAAGCGCAGACTTAGGCTCAGGCTCGGCTCGCTAAAATAGAGGTAGAGAAAAGGTCGACAATATTTGTTTCTAGAAGTAGGTGTTCAGGCTCAGGCTCGACTCGTCAACGTAGAGGTAGAAAATCGAGGTTGACAATCTTTGTTTCTGGGAAGTTGATGTTCAAGCGCAGGCTTAGGCTCGACTCGTCAACGTAGAGGTAGAGAATTGAGGTCGACAATCTTTGTTTCTGCGATGTCGGTGTTTAAACGCAGGCTCAAGCGCAGGCTCGTCAACGTAGAGGTAGAAGTAGAGAATCGAGACAAGAGAGAAGAGAGTAGAAAATCGAGACAAGAGGGAAGAGGGAAGAGGGAAGGCGAAGAGTGAAGTTGGAGGATATTGCGGCTAGACGTCCATATGCATATGCAGTGCAGGCTCGACAGTGTCGAGTCTTGTTATCGATCGCACAACAAACGATGTTAGAAAGTTAGAAGGCTGAAAGACAATGGAGGAGAACAGGACAGGACATGGTAGAAGTACTGCCAGTCACCTAACAGTATCCGTACTCCGTTCTCCGTCCTCCGTATGTACTGCCCGCATCCCCATCCTGTAGTAACCAATAGATCGGGGTCGGGGTCGGAGGCGGAGGCTGAGGCTGAGGCTGTGCATCAGGCAGGCAAGCAGGCATCTCAGATGACATCAACCGTGGTTGTACAGATATATTTTTTTATAACTGTACGAATACGGATAGTGCAGTTTGCAGTTTGCAGTTTGCCAGACCACCTTCTCCCTCAACGTTGACAAGTTTATCACCCGTTCCCCGTCCTGCGCCTTTACATCTCCGGTCGAGTACCGAGTACCAAGTACCAGAGACGGACTTCTATAGTTACAGTTGCAGAACAGATCAAAATTAAATGGCATCTTGGGCTACCAACCTCAACCTCCTCCTCCACTTCCACCTCCAGAGCCTTGCGAGACGAACGGATGCTGACGATTGCTGGCATACATTTCCCGCTCATAGCCACGGCGTGGACCGTGCTAAAGAGAGACAGGGACGACGGTGAGTATTAGGGGCAGCGGCTGTTCTGACTGATCCGCGCTTCTGCTTCTGGATGCCGTTGGACAACTCGTGCTTGTCCCTGTGCCCGTGCCCGTGACAGAACTCAATACAGAAGCAGAAGCAGAAGCAGACGCAGAAGGACTGTTCGAGGTCGAGGTCGAGGTCGAGGTCGAGGTGGAAGCAGCTGCTGGAAGAGGCTCTGGCATAGCAGCCCCTGTGATTGCTGTGGTGGGAGGAAGAGTTCTGATTCCCGTCGGCAGTGCGCTGGTGACCGTTACTGAGACTGTCGATGTCGATGTCGATGTCGATGGAGCGGAACTGTCCTCAGTACTAGTTGTCCCATTGGAATTGGAATTGGAAGCAGGGTCCTCTCCTTCTCCCGAATCCGAACCTGGTGAAGTTGTGGTTGAGCCGACTGGAAAACTGGGAGATGCAGCCGATGCCGATGCAGATTGGGAAACGTCGCCAGGATGGTAGGGGAAGAATTTCCCAAAGTGAGAAGCATGCTCATCTCTTCCGTGGGGAGGCCTTGTATTGGTGGTGGCTGGCTGAATAGAAACCTCGTCCACATCGTCCACAGGATTCGCATTCGGATGGTCTGGCTCTGGCTCTGGCTCTGGCTCTGGCTCTCGCTCTCGCTCTCGCTTCCCATGCGTTCCGGCGCCGGTCATTGACACTGGTTCCACGATAGTTGCCGAAGCAGCCATGTATACATGTTGTCGAATTAAAATGCTGGCGCTCGTAGGTATGGCAAAGAGCTGCCTAGCTTCCTCTCGGATCGTGATTTTCGGAAGCATTGGCACCGCCGGGAGGCCACATGTCAATGTTCCTAGGATTGAGACTGCTGTGCCGAGCAGAAAAAAGGGCTTCATGGCGATATTAGCTATTAGCTAAGAAACCGTGATCTGTTGATTGAGGAATCGAGGGCCAGCCCGCTTGTAGATGTCTGTTGGTGTCGAAGAACGAGACCAAGACCGAGGATGAATGAATGCAAGCAGCGCACGAGGAACGATAGACAAGTCAAGTATATACGCCGTGCAGTGTGGTGCGGACAGACAACACAAAAACAACACGCGTAGAGTGCAGTCTTGTCAGCTTAAGATGTCGACAGAACTCGACTTCACCGTCACTCAGTGAGCATCATCAGCTCTCACTCTCATCGCACAGGCGTCAACCGTCAACATCCACGGGCTACGGTCTGCCGTCACCTTGATCATGGTGTGGTGCGGAACGGAACAGCTACCTGTACCTGCAGACCTTGAACGAGGCCTCATGTCCAACCGTGGCCTGGCCGGCGCGAGGGCCTCTTTCGAGACGCGCCGCGGTCCCGGCCTCATCGTTCGCGCCGATCTGGTCAGCCATCAGGCCACACTGGTCCGCGGATCGAGGTGAACTGAGCTGAGCTTTGCATAGGGAGGGATTCTAGAAGTCGGCAGCTGTGCTCGCGATGGAAGGAAGTGCCAGTGATGGTTGGCGGCGGTACTGGAGAAGAGAGGATCTGAAACGACGTTGAAACGTAGACAGGGGTAAGGCGGGAGAAGTTGGCGAGTCAGTCGAGTGACGCGATGCCGCTTGTCGCGAGTCATTGGTCGTGCCGTGTTCTCCCGGTGCTGCCACGCTCCTATGATCTTTCACCCCTGCGGGACTATTCAGGATGATGGGACCGGTTGATACTGTATTCACAAGAGCTTGGGCCTCGGCCTCGTCAGATGTGAGGATGCAGCATGGATCATGATCATGGTTCCTCCAGAGGCGACATCGACATCTATCCTGCGCACGGCGTGTCTTGGTCAATAGTACGTGGTCCTATGTCCGCCATAGTCGTGCTGCGTCCCCGGAAATGCGCCCACCGGGGATTTTGGGCCGCCATCGTCGTCCTCCGAACTCCCCCCGTCTGCCATGTCCTTGTTTTCTGGCGGAGCTCGCATGGTGGCCAGCTCATCCTCTTCCAGAACCACCGGCGTCCACTTCTCGTCGATGGGCATGTTCATCCCGCTCGGGAGAGATGCCAGGAGTGGCCTCCATTCCGGGATCAGCTGCACGTTGATCGTGTCGTTCTCCTTGCTCATCTTGTGGTCGAGATACTCCACTATCCGCGCCTCTTCGAGCTTTCCCCCGTCCAGGCCCCAGGCTGAACTACCCTTTTCGATCCTCTTGTCTTCTCTTCTCTCGCTCCAAGAAGCCTTCAACTTGCCCAGGCCGGAAGACTTAGACCCGTCCTTAGCCACTTCTAGTCCAAGTTCGTTTCTCGCCGCCCGTAGCCATGCTATAGCTTTCCCCGTCGCCCCAGCCAAGTCTTCATCCAGAGCCTGGAACCGGCAGGCCTTGGCCCGCGCAGCTTTCCGCACTCCTTCGCAATACTCCAGCAGATCCTTCGAGACCTTGTAGCTGTCTGATTTCAATGCCACCGATGCTAGGGAAGCATGCTCTGCTGCTCCAATGCACAGCCGGGTCAACACTTGGGCGCGGACTTTGGGGATTGAAGGCGCTCTAATCATCCAGTCTCGATCGTCTTTGTTGCGCGATTGGACCAGCAGAGCGGGATATGGGTCGTCTTTTAATACACATAAGAGGTTGAACTCGGCGTGGGCCAAATGCTGCAGAGCGGACTGCGCCGGCGGAGAAACATCCACGGCGCTGGGCGGGAAGTTTAGAGGCCCGTCGGATCCCAAAGGAGATTTCGCCCTGAGGAGTAGATAGGAATGAAGAGAATGGGCCACTTTGAGACATTTGGTCGCATTTTGGATCAACACTGTCCTCTGCTCCGCTGTCGGGCTGGCCGAGGCGTATAGCCCCAGCAACGATTGTCGGGCGAGCAAGCTCTGGACAAGAGCCAGAGTGTGGTGAACGAAGAAGATCTCATAGTCGAGCCCTTTCCCCGTGACCCTTTCATTCTCGCGGCCTGGAATCCCACTTGCGCCGAGGGTCGGTCGCCATTCGATTTCCGGCTCGGTGGCCAATGTGATGTCGACTTCCTCCCCGGCGACAGGTCTCCCGCACAGCGCAAGATCTAGGGTCAAAAGGTAGCGGAGATAGTCTTGGATGGTAGTGGCGAGCGTCAGTAGATTCGTGGCCTGGTCGAGAGGGGGCAGTCTCTTGTGGCTCTTCAGAGCTGCGCGAAGGACAGACCGATGAGATGTGGCCGCGAAGGGCAGGGATGGGTGAGTGGAGGAGGTGAGGCTCGTCTGAAGGGAGACATGGGAGGTGGTGGACAGCACGAAGGGAAAAGGCATATCGGTGGATCGGCGGATCTGCCGAAAGAGAAAGAGAAAGAGATAGATAGCTACCTTGGGAGGTCTTCTTCTACGACTTGCAACTGGCAGATGCTTGATTGATATTGTACAGTCCCGTGGCCTGAGCCCTTCAAGTTGTGTCAAGCGGCGACGGCGACGGCGACGGCAACCCCAACCACACTTGGCCGCCAGTCAAAACAACTTTCTAAGGATTTCAAATACACGCCGCTTTAATGCCACAGCCTTCCCAGCCTTGCCCTGGTACAGCCTCAACTGAAATGTGCACCCTCTCATCCTCTATCAAGGACTAGATAAATCTTCGCACCCTTGGGCTTTCCAATCCATGGCAATTCCCACCTGTGACGAGTGTCGAGATGCCACGCTGTGCCACACATTAGCACCGGCGCAGAAGAGCCCTGAGGAGATATCATGCTCTATGCCTGTCAGGAAAGTCCTGAGCCCCTTGGACTCACCGTCACCGACTTGGTGCCAGGTGCATGTCTGGTGCAGCACTGTCACTGTCAGCAATGCACTGTTCCTGTTGCATGTGGTCTGGACTGGCCCGGTGTAGGGTTCAAGGACTGCGTAAAAGCAATAGAATTCCGGCTTGTCACATCAATATCCATATAGATGTATACAGAGTATATACACACATAAACAGATCCTCCGGACAACGCAGCGAGACAGGGATTAGCTAAGAATCTCCTCTGGACGATATAATTAGTTGACCTTTATGGCCGACCAGCTGAGAGCTGAGCCAATAATTAATATCACCAAGACAGTCTAGACTCTACAGTCTTATCTCGTCATCGGGCGGTGTGAGAAGTACGGACTAATATGGACACCCCAGTCGATGACCTTACTCAGGGTATTCGGCCCCGTCCCCGTCCCCCAATCGAGATGCGAAGGGGATGCAAGAGGCGGGCTGTATACTAAAGGAAAGCAAGAAGAGCCCCTCATCGAGGGGTAAGGAGGGTAAGGAGGGTAAGGAGGGTCAGTGTAAGTCTTCAGGGATGGACATGCACGGTTTCTCCTACGGCTGAGCCGCATTGATACCATACCAACAAGCGGCGTCCTTTTCCGCCGTGCTTGCTCGCGGTCGATCACTTCTTCTGGGTGCCTAAGCCTGCCGGCTGAACGATTTCGCGGTCGCGGCGCGCAAGGAATTACCCCATCTCGTCGAATGGGGTCGATGTTGTGATCGTCGCCAGTTCCAGAAATACATTGTACGGATATGCTGATGGCTGGCCGGGACAAGAAAGCCAGATACGGAGTTGGTGTCGGTGTTGGTGTCATGTCGTGCTCGCGACAGGAAATCTCACCACGCCGGGACAAGAATCATCCCTCCAGCTCCAGCTCCAGCTCCACCGTTATCAGAGCAGAGTGATCCTTTCGCCTTTTCGCAACGCTGAATCCGAACCCAAACCCACTTCCACCAGGCAACTGCCGATGCGAAAATGTGGGCGCAGGCGCCGTCCGCATGTGGATGTGGGACAACCTCTCCTCTCCTCTCTCTCTGTCTCTTCTCTCTCACCGCAATGCCGCAATGCGAAGCGGGCGGGTGCTCGGAATCCAGGCACAGGGCCGGGAACGGGGACGGGGGACGGACAGAGGGGCCCTGACTCTTCAAGCGGGCAACTTTCTCCTCAAGTCGTCACATTCGCGTCAATGCTAACCATGCTCCAGCGACTGAGATTGATCCCTGATCCGTAGGCCTGAAGCTCGTGAGGAGTGCGCGTCAGGTAAACTATTACCCCTCAAATGCAGGTGCTTCGAGCTCGAGCGACGGATCCGACAAAACTGGAACTCGAACTGGAACTGGACCTGTGGATGTGGGTGCGGATGCCCTGCACCCAGCACTGCGGCGCCGAGTTGCGTTGCAGTTGCTCAGGAAAACGTATAAAATGATCAAGGAGCCCAGCCGCGAGCGTGCCCGACTTGACTGCTCTTTGGCAAGGCAAAACAAGATCCTAGCTACCATTACCACTACCACCTAGACTATTACATACTGCTGCTGCTGCTGCTACACGGTTCACTCGCATCGCAAAGCCCACACCAACCATGGCCTTCTCCCTCCACCCCCTAATCGACAACGGCCTGACCAAAGGCAGCGACAGCTTCCCAGGCGGCAAGTTGCACTGCCACTGCAGCAGCAAGCCGGTCGAAGTGACGATCAAGGGAAACGTGTTGCACAACCATGCGTGCGGCTGCTCGCAATGCTGGAAGCCCAAGGGGGCGCTCTTCTCCATCGTCGCCGTCGTCCCCGTCGACAACGTCGAAGTGACGGCCAACGGAGACAAGCTCGAGATCGTGAACAAGGACGCCACCATCCTCCGACATGCCTGCAAGGACTGCGGCGTCCATCTGTACGGGCGCATCGAGAAGGACCATGCCTTCAAGGGCCTCGACTTTGTGCACGTCGAACTGTCCGACGAAAAGGGCTGGCAGGAACCGCAGTTCGCTGCCTTCGTCTCGTCGCTCATCGAGCAGGGCTTTGACCCGGCCAAGATGGGAGACGTGCGCGCCAAATTGAAGTCCATCGGCCTGGAGTCGTACGACGCCTTGAGTCCCCCGTTGATGGATGCCCTCGCCACCTTTGCCGCGGAGAAGGCGGGCGTCAAGGGGAAATTATGAAAGGGAGACGTCTATGTCTAAAGTTTACACCCGACATGGCCGGCGTCAGAGGGCAGACTATGACTTGGCCCTGACATATATGGTATGGCCTGTCGAGGAATGGCCGTCGCCTGCGGTAGCCATGATCGAATGAATGAATCTAGCTATAGCTTCTCTCAACTGTCAGGTCAAGCTGGTCGGCCATGTGGCTCTGGCGAACTTCTGCAGTCCTTCGCCTACGTCGTGGCAAGAATCAAAAGTCTCGTTCTATCGGCCTGGCCACAGGTTCAAGTTCCAGTAGATTTCATGTTACTACGTACGTCGGTCGTTGTGTCGAGATCATGTCTGCACGACTGCAACATTCAGTTGTTGATCAGGAGCTCTAGCAGAGACGAATCATCCAGAATATCGTACTCCAGCGCCACGGGAGACAGCTGTATGGTGAACACCTTCTCCGTAATGCAGCTTGACATACGTGCTGGTATGGTTGAATTTAATCACTGGCCGGAATCCTCCCAACGTACGGAGTACTGTGGCCAGACCCATCACGATATATCATCTGTCCGAAATAGTTACAATGTAGGCAACTCCAGTGGGCTTCATCTCGGCGCAGGTTTATGTATGGGTTGAAGGCTCGACTGCTGGCATTGGGCTTCTGCTTGCGGACTTCGAACGCATGGCCGAGTAGTATGTACAGTTCCATTTCCCCGTTCTCTCCAAATGCTCTGTCCCATCTTTTTTTGACATTAATATAACACATTGCCACCCTGGCCGGTCGTGTTTCCAGGTCTGTAATCCGAGCCCTTTGAGCCTTTGGCTTGCTGTACACTCGGGTAATCCGTATGAATCTCCGGTCCGCCCGCTGGTCCGTCGACGCCGGGGGTGTAGTTTTGCTGTCGTCCTCTGTAGCCTTTCTCCTTGTTTGATTTTAACAGTTGCAAATAACGGTCTAGCCCAAAACACGACAAAGTTAGTTGCAGTCACTCAATCACATGCCCACGCAGGTATGCCTCCAAAGTCATGATGGGGCAGCTGTATACCTCTGTATTTCCCGCACTTCTCCAGATGATTGACACCTTCACGTTTGTAGCATTTTCCTATGAGCCCATTATCAGTAGTGCATCTCAGCAAGCATGTTTCGGTTCAGCAGCGTAAACAGCCAGCATTCTCTTGCGGTCCAGCGCCCATGGCAATGAACACAGCCGGCAGGGTATACATCCACCTCTGCGACAAATGCCCTCATCGTCTATCGCGTGCAAGGATATCGAACTTCAGGAGACGTACCCATCTCCTCGCCCACCAATCTCTGCATCATCTGCTGGACCCATTGTTCCCGTACAATCGCATCTCGGGCGTTGGTGACCGCCTGGTTGTCTGAGAAGTCGACGCCCTGGAAGGTAGGCGGCACCTGAGGCTTTTTGGCGAGAAACGCTTCGGACTCTGGAGTCGGCATTCTGGGAGATGCGGTGATGCCGACCAGAAAGGTATGGAGGAACGGGATGCGACGCCCCTAGTAGAGGTAGAGGTAGAGGTCGAGAAGGTGAGGTGGGCGGAGATAGTCGTGAGCAAGACCAGTCTCCTGTGTTGGAACCTCAGGACCACCGAGCACGACCCGAGCAGGAAGAGCTGCGAGCTGAGTATCTGTGTACGTGGAGTTGCAGGGCAATGCCAGTGGGTGTAGCTTGTCTGTCTTTGTCTTGCTAATGGAATCGAGCTCAATCGCCAGCTTCCAGGTGCCAAGGCCGATCTCTATTTGGAGTTTAGCGGCATCTGATCAGCGCAACTCATCCAGTACGGCGGAGTATCTCAACATGTACTCCCGCCTACTACGGAGTACTGCTGCACTAGTAGCAGGTAAAATGAGCAGCCGAAAACAGCGTTCGCAAAGAGCCGCTTTTAGCCTCCTCTGCACCCGCACCGGTCATGTAGCCCTGGGCACCTACCTGGGGTGTTGTGCTTTTTCGAGATTACTCGGCTTGTTGGAGAACTTGAAGAGAACAGCTGTCTACCAGTCGACTAGCAAAGGGCAAGAATGACATGGTGGTTCTGCCTCATCAGGGAGAGACTAGTTGTTATGCAACTACAAGGCCGCCACTCACCCGCCTGGAGCCTGGAGCCTGGAGCCTGGAGCCTGGAGTCTGGACGGGATGCTTGCAATATAGTATATGTATAATACCACTGATCCCATTGACGATTTCGATTGACATCCTTGACGACGCCTGAAACTTAGCTTATCTTCACAGCGGTCTCTATCTTGCGGACAAAGACACACGTCGCTTGCTAGCATTGATGTTCATGGCGGAACAAAACCCTTCATCTGCGTTGAATCTCTCCTGGCAGTCCCTTCTCGTTTCTGGAGAGGACAACCAAGCCTTACTGCGGAATATGGGGTAATCGAAGGGGCAAAATCGTCTGATACCAGAAACCTCAGCTCACCGAAAGTGCCGGTGCCAGCAGGGTGCGAAGAGGTGAGGTGACTGACTGCGGACGGACCACGGATTGCCTTCTTCCGAATTCGAAAACAAGAGAATGGAAGACTGCGTGGGATATGCACTCCGTGGGCATGTCGCTTATCACGTTACATCCACGTAATGTATTTGGCTTGGCCCTGTTCCATATCCCTTGTCAGCCACATGTGATTTGCGGCAGAACCTGGTGTCGCGATCCCTGTGCCCTGTGCATGGTCTAGGATTCTAGAAAACGGGATGCGGTACGGAGAACTTGCTGAATCGTCCATGTCCACTGAGAGTTGCGGTTGAAGCCGACATCCTACGGAGTGGCCCTGTAGGTGCCTGTACTACTGGACTAGGCGGTTTGAGGAGCCGAGCCGTCGAGGAAGAGAACGGAGGCCGGGGGAGCTTGCGCTTCCCACCCGGCCCTAACGCACCGCACCGGAAGGCTGATCAGCCGGTTGGGTTGACAGTTGACATGGCCTAATGCACTGCCTAAAGTACTGAAAAGGATCACCTCTTGCTCTTCGAGCCGAAGATCAGCTTTCAAGCTACACATACTCCGTACAGCACTGCAGAATGAGCGGCTCACCTTTCTCATCATCGAGCTCATCCAAGTCGTTTCGACGTGGCCTAGATTCTATACACACGGACTTGCCTTGCACAACGCAACTACTGGTATCAGTATCAGTATCAGTTGGAGTCACACATTTCTGCCCGTGTGGCCATCGACAGTCCATCTTATGATCGGATCATACTGACTCAAGTGGCCGTAACAATAACAATATCAATTCCTCAAGACCATGAGCACAGCACAGGCACCAGGGTCAGAAGCTCCGGGGAATGTTGGAATCGAGGTCGAGGTCGATGAGAATGAAAATGACAACGACACCGACTCTTCGCTAGGAGACAACCTATCCACGGCGACCGAGTCGGTCAGGTCGAGTCTCTTCCAGGGCGTCTACGAAAATGGACGTCTCTATCACAAATACAAGGACGGGGCTTATATACTTCCGGAGGATGGACCGGAGCAAGAGCGCCTTGATATGCAGCACGCCATGTTCTGGCGGTCACTCGGCGGGAAGTTCATTCTGGCGCCTGTTGAAAGAGAGCTGCGTGAAGTGCTCGACCTCGGAACAGGGACAGGAATCTGGGTCGTCGACTTTGCCGATGCACACCCCGAGGCCAACGTGCTAGGAATTGACCTCAGTCCCATCCAACCGGCGTTGGTGCCGCCCAACGCCAAATTCGAAGTGGACGACTTCGACCAGCCATGGACCTACGTCCAAAAGTTCGACCTGATCCACGCGCGGATGTTGCTCACCTCCAGTGCGGATTTCCCGCGATTGTTCCAACAAACCTTTGATGCTCTGCAACCGGGCGGCTGGTTCGAGATCCAGGACTTATGCATGCCACTGTTGTGCGACGACGGGACCATCCAGGGAACCGCGCTGGAGGAATGGAACGACAAGTACATGGAGGCTTGCAGGAGGATCCAACGCGATCCCTCATGGACGGCCAAGTATAAAGAGTGGCTGATTCAAGCCGGGTTTGTCAAGGTCGAAGAAAAGGTGCTCAAGTGGCCGATCGGTCCTTGGGCCAAAGACCCAGCCCTCAAAGAGATGGGGAGTTGGAATCAGATCAACATGCTCGAGGGTCTGGACGCCTTCACGGTCCGGTTGTGGACCATGGCACTCGGCATGACGCTGGAGGAGATCCAGCTGTTCCTCGTGCGGGTGAGGAATGATATCCAGGACAGGAGAATCCATTCGTACTGGCCCATGTAAGAAGCCTTAGCCAGCACCACTCCCTCCACATTCCCCCTTCCGCGCTGAAGTACATACGCTAACCCGACGGCTGCAGATACGTCGTCTACGGCCAAAAGCCAGCCGAATGAGAGGGCTCCGTACACGTGTCTGTCCGTTGAGCTTGAGTCTCTGTATCTGTCTCCGTCTCTGTCTCCGTCTCTGTCTCCGTCTCCTCTTTCTGTGCCGGCCTGGCCGAACCATCTCAGCTGTACAGGTAGCCGTAGTCCGTACAGTACAGACCTTGCCATTGATCCTGGGATCATCGTGACGATGAAAAGAGGTCGCTGTAATGATTTTCATGGTCGGGTCAGATTGGAAGGACTTGCTAATCCTCTGTATCTCAAGCACCCTCAGAGCTGCAAGCATCACGCCATCACTCAGGGTCATCCCGGAAGCAACGTTGTCACCGCCAGGAGTTCAGGTTAAGAACGTTACAGTAGTGTCACCGCCAGGAGTTCAGGTTCAAGGACGTTACAGTAGTGCTTTGAACGCCCTAATCCCCCTCCCCTCCTTCTCCCGGGGGCTTGGGCTTCGTTGGCACTGGTCCCGCATCGCGTACAGATAGGTACTCCGTACATACAAGCTAGTAGGGGATGATGGCCTAGGAGGCCTCCTATCAGTACCTAGGACCTTAGTCTCCTTAGGCTTCCATCCTTGACCGAATAGCGTGGGTACAGGACGGAATTCAGAGTCTTGGTGTCCGTTTCCCACCCTATGCTGTGTACCGAGTACATGTATATCTCCCAGCCCACGTGCTGATTCATTGTGACCCTCTTATCTGACAGTCTATAGTTCACAGTCAGGCTTGTCGTTGTCCCCAAGCATCTCTTGCAGACCTGGACTTCAAGTGGCTGTACGGATACATACAGTATACACAGGGCCCCAAGCCAGAGCCAGGGCCAGAGCGAGAGCAAGCGCCAGAGCAAGAGTTGAAGCCAGAGAAAATGGCCGCCATCACCCCGTATCTTATCGGCTATGTCCTCTTCTTTCTTGGAGCGGCCCTGTTCGTCTTCCAGACTTTTAGATACTGGCAGCGGCTTCGCCACATCCCAGGGCCTCCGGGGTGGGCTTGGACGGTGATCCCACTCTTCCGACTTCATGTCCAAGGGGCAATCTACGACAAGTTCGGTGAATTGAGCAAGCAATACGGACCCCTGGTGCGCATTGCCCCCAATACGTTGCTAGTGTCTGACCCCAACGTCTTGCGCCGCATGTCGGCCGCCCGGTCGCCATACACGAGGGCGGACTGGTACATTGCCATGCGACTGAACCCGGGCCAAGACAACGTGTTATCGCAGCGCAGCGAGGAGAAGCATGACGACTTGCGCCGACGCATGGTGCACGGCTACTCGGGAAAGGAGAACCTCACGCTGGAGAAGGACATTGACGACTGTGTGCTCGAGCTGGTGGGCCTGATCGAACGGAAATACTTGAGCGAACCGAGTTCGGGACGGCTGGTGCCCATGGATCTGGCGCAGAAGATACAGTTTTTCACCAGCGACATCATGAGCAAGCTCTCCTTCGACACCAAGTTCCACGACCTGCGGGACGACGCCGACAATCTGGGTTATATTCACGAAATCGACACCATGTTTCCCCGTATCTTTTCTACCTGCACCATTCCCAAGGTCATAGAGTTCTTGACCGACGTCGGCTTTCTCGGCCTGTTTGCCCCTTCGGCGAACAGTAACCTGGGCCTGGGGAAGGTCCAGGCCATCACCAAGGAGCAGACGGCGAAACGGTTCGATGTCGAAGGCAAGCCCAAGGCCGACAAGGACTACCGTGACATGCTGGGGAGCTTTATTCGCCATGGTTTGACGATGAAGGAGGCCGAGTCGGAAAGTGTCATGCAATTGTAGGTGTCTTGCCTCTCTCAGCTCACGTATTGGTATTACGTTGTGCGCCACATGCTGATGATGATGATGCTGATACTGATACTGATACTGATGCTGACACTAACATGACCGCCACAGGGCCGCTGGGTCGGACACGTCTGCCACAGGCATGAGGGCCACGTTGCGCTGCATCATCTCGTCTCCATCGACATATGCGAAGCTTATGGCGGAGATTGATGAGGCCATAGCAAGCGGCAAGATACCGTCCGACGAGAACCAGGTCATCTCGAATACGAATGCCAAAGAACTGCCGTATCTCCAGGCATGTATCAAAGAGGTGAGAGTAGCCACTAGCCACTAGCACTAGCTATGAGATATCTGGCAGTAGGCCGATCACATTCACCATCCTGTTTTATACCTAACTGACTTATCTTGCCTTTTACCCAACTGACTTACCTTGCCCCTATCTCGCCACGACCCGTCTAGGGACTGAAGCTGAGCTCAGAGCGGAGGCTGACACTTTTCTCCTCTGCAGGGTCTTCGATGGTATCCTCCGATTGCAGGAATGCTTGCTAAGAAGGTAAGTTTTGATATATCGCACCATACAGGGAGGGTATCGATGTCACATCGTACTAGGATGGCGGGTATCTTCAAGCATCACAAAGAGTTTCAACTAACTGAATCACTTCTTTCCCCAGGTCCCCCCCGCCGGCGATACCGTGTGCGGCTATTTCGTGCCTGGTGGCACATCTATGGCGTAAGTCTAAGTATCTCCATCTACCATCTATCTGTCTTTCTTGGCCCAACCCCTACAAGGACTCTGGAGCTGAATTCAGGAACGGCCGGAATCTCGTTCCAAGGGTGGAAAGAAGAAAAAAAAGACAAGACAAATGCCCTCGCTGGCTGCTGGCTGCTGGCTATTTGGCTCGCTACTTGGCTCGCTGACTTGAATGACTGACGATTTCGGATTATATGACTGACTGACGATTTCGGATATGACTGACTGACGATTTCGGATATGACTGACTGACTATATCGGATGTGTGTATATACAGCTACTCCGCCAAAGCAGTCCATCACTCGCCCGCGCTATTCGGACCGGACGAAGAGGCCTTCCGACCCGAACGGTGGATCTTGACCCAAGACGGCGGCGACGAGCCGTCGGCCGAGAAACTCAAGCTCATGGAGCAGAACAACGAGCTGATCTTCGGGTACGGCAAGTACCTGTGCCTGGGGAAGAGCGTGGCCATGATCGAGTTGAACAAGGTCTACGTCGAGCTGCTGCGCCGCTTCCAGTTCAGCTTGATGAATCCGTTGGATGCGTGGAAGACCAGGTGTTTCGGAATCCACTTTCAGAAGGATATGTGGGTGACGGTGAAGAGACGGCCAAAGCCTTGAGACCTCAGACCCCCAAGGGTCTCGGCTTCAGTCTATGTGTCCAGACAACTGATGTAGCATGCCGGCTGATCTCTATCTGAATTGAAATTGGAATTGGAATCTAATAAAACCATTAATCCAACCTCAAGCCACCGTTTCCAACTTCCGGCATTCGAACCCTTGTTTGAAATAAAGATGCGATACAATATAACAGCAAGGCTGATGTATGTCGTCGTGGCTCATGTGACTTAGGTCTACGTACCGCGTCAAATGCCAACCCGATCTGGGTAGGAATGGCTCCTCGTGGCTGCAGCACGACCTGATAAATCCAATTCTGCCACTTGTCAGGAGTGAGAAAGCGATACCCGATTTCCAGGCCCAGATCGCGTGTCCGTGCAGGATGAGGCGCACAAACAGTTGGAGCCTGTATTGCCATCGTACATCATGGCCATCTGGGGAACGTTCTCCAATGCGAGCCCTGGGAAGAGCCGAAAACTTGTGGAGCTGATAAGAGAAGGCCCAACCGGTGATAGACACCCCAAAGATCACACATGTGGTGATTACGAACACCCAAAGATGTGGGCCTATGGCGTTGAGTTCTTCGAGATTCATCCCAAATATCGAGGTGGACAGACTCATGGAGATGAAGAAGAAGGCTAGTATGGTGACTGGCATCCGTATATATGGGTCAGTCATGAACTTGATTCAAGGATCCCAGTCAGGCACTGTGCCGGTACTTACTCAATTTCGTGCGCTTGCCTTCCTCCAACGCTATCTTGGACTGCTTGATAGATGCGCGCGACTCTTCGAGACTCAGCCAGCCGACGTACGCTTGAAGGTAGTCTCGAGCAAGTTGCTCTGTGCGGTCGATCTCCTTTATGATGCAATCCCATCTCTGGAACAGATCAATGCAGGCTGCCTTTTGTTGTGCTCGTCCCTTGTTGTGATCTCGGTCGTATTTCCGGAAGCATTCGAAAGGTCGGCCTCCTTCATGCTTCAGAACCCGCAGCCGATTCCAGGATCTCTCTAGTAGGGTTTGCCGTTGCTTCCAGCTCTGCCTCACGAAGCCAATGCACCTGTCCTGCACCTCAAGATCTCCCCAAATAAAGGTTGTATATATTTCGAGTACTGGCAACACCAGCATCAAAGGGTCTTCGTGAGCAAGGGCACGAAACACGTTGTCGTATTGGCCAATCGCTGCGATGTACAGATGGGAGCAATGTACGAAGTAGTCGCTGTCATCGCGATTGTCATGAACGTCGTAGAATCCCTCCCCAAGTGTGAAACGTCGCTTTTCGTTGTCGATAAGACCAGTCCTGTCCAGTGCAGCCAAAGATGGCTTGGTCACGGGAAGGAGAGGAGCTGATAGAATAACTGATCCATCAGCTACAAGACTTGAGTAACTCAAATGGCTCAACCTACCGACATTCTCCGGTCCAAGCTGGGCCGTCCGATCTCTAGTAACGACTTTGGCAACCCAGCCTCCAAGATCGAGGTGCTTCGGGGAAGAGCCGGTCAAGAATCGGGGTAGGCGGTGCTCGAATCTTGGCCACCACCTGTACTCACTAGGATCAAAACCTGAGTGCCACATCCTTGAAGAACTCCGGTTCGATGTCGTAATGTAATCCAATCAGTTCTCGAGCCCAGTGGTCGGAGGTACGCTCGAACACAATCAGGCGAGTCATCGAGCCCGAGCCAGTGGTACGGAGCAATTCCCTATGTGTGCGTATCCATGTCTCAAGGCTCTCATTCTGGCCAGGGGAAGCTATCCTCCACTGGGCGAGGTCTCCGGAAGGCGCAATGTCCATGATGGTGATCCATCCACTGGTGATCCATCCACTGGTGGGAAAATCCAGAACACCCCCCCAGTGGTTAAATTCAATCTCTTTTGACCAGATTTCGCGGTAGGATCGGACGTTGGGTCCCGCAGGGCTGGCGGTCCCGGACGACGCGGAACCAGGGCTCGACATCGTTTAACAGGGTACAACAACGGAACCTTCTCCAAGTCCTCAAGACGCCGTGTGATTTGTGCCTAATCTGATAACATGCACGCCTGAGAGCCGTTCTCACCTTGGTGCCAGTTGATGCCCCGACATGATGAAGAAAAAAGGTATTGCGCGGATGTCGTTTCCCAAGGAAGAGTGAGTGTGGCTGTGTTGTAGTCAACAAATGAAAGGTTATTGCGAAACAAGCCAGGTAGAGATGACTGCGCCTCTGAAAGCCGATTCCGCCCCCATATGCGAATGCACTTATGCACCGCTAGAGTCGGGCAACATCAGCCACCACTTAATTTGACAGGGGTCCTGGAGTAAGTTAGACTTGCTTTCTGCTGATCCAAGGCCATTGAACAGCCTCTTCCGTCAGCACTCCCGTACACACAACCACAGGATTGGCGTTGTCATGACCAGCCAGTCTGTCCGTTTTCTGCCCCGTTGCGGGGGTTGGCTATCGTCGGAAGGCTGGCGATGAACCGAACAGAATCAATGCGGCTGCTCGTAAACGGGAGGTAATAAGCTGTCCTGCACTGGCGACGACCGTCTCAACAGTCATAATCTTGACATAATTGAAAGGAAAGTGTTCTCTATGGTGACGAAGGTAAATTCGATCCATAGAAGATTGATAATTAAGAGGGAAGTCTCAACGAGAAGTAGCTCTGTGTTGTCTGCACGTGTCTGTGCAATGTTTGATTATGTAACATCTGAAATCGGCAATCACGTGGCCAATATGCGACCTACGGGGGAGTGTAGGCCCCAAGTACTAATTCTGTTGCGCCGTATTCTGTATTCTGTATTTGGCCCAGCCTGCAGGTCCAATGTGTAGTGCCTACCTGTGATATATTGTATATTGTACACTGAGCAGCCTACCACGTCTCCATTGCGCTGCTTGTAGAGGTGCCCGCCAAAGCCGCGAAAGACAGCCGAGTCAGCGGCGACGGGGACGGGGTCAGGGTCGAGGCATGGCGAGCAGCCAGACCCGAACTTGAAGGTGAAGGCGCAGGCGCTTCAAAGCTCTGTCCGCACTCCATTCCAGGAGACTGGGCTAAGGCCGCGTCCTGTGCGAGCCAGCTACGCACTCCGGCTCCCATGTCGCCCATCCGTTGTCGCGCGGCGTTCGAGTCACCGGTCTTGCCTCGATCGTTGGTGGCGGCCACTCGTTCCTTGCGCATGTTTAGCTTTGCGCTCGATTCAAGCTTCATCGGCAACATGGTCGAGCTGCGGTAGATGCGGCGACCATGTGAAAACCCTCGCTCATTGCGCTCGATCGTTCTGGCCGAGATCCTCCTCGCCATGTCTTGTCTCACAGGTCTCTCGGCAAGCCCAATTCTCATGTCCCGGTCCTCCTGACATGACTGGCAGAGGCTGCTCACGCTCAAGGTATGCCAAGGGTGAGTGAGTATATCCGCACATGGTGTGGTTGACTCCCCTTGTTGCATCCAGGAGTAGAGTTCTGCATTTTTGCCCTTCTCGCCCATGTTGCCGTCACGCGCCTTTGTTCCCGTCGGGTTCTGGGAGGGCTCTCGAGCGGCCATTCGGCTTTGATTGGAACAAGGCGGGTTCATGACTGGGGCGCTGCACATGGAGACGTGCCCGCACGCCTGGTAGATACAAGTTTTGTAATAACACATTTTTTGTATCAGCGGATCTAAGATTCCTCTTCTCATCCACGTTGTGAGTCAATCTGTCCTGGCGTCTTGATCTTTGCCTGGGCGGACCGAATCTAGAGCCTTGACAGCTGCGGCAATGAACAAACAAACCAACAAGGAGGAGATCATGCCCGTTCACTCCATATTAAATACCCGCCCCAGAATCTGGTGATGCTGCCTATCTCTCTTTGTGCCGCCGCCACTGCCTGTCGTGCCGTGCCAGTGGCTGGCGGCAGTTCTTGTCACCGGGTGCGGCAAACAAAGCCCATCGCCACAAAGAATGGCAGACAACAACCAATTGCTACGTATTTGTCTGGCATTGTTCCATTGTTGTTTGACTGCCTTTCCACCACCACTATGGCGGGCTTGGTTGTTCGAAGCTATTGTCCAGGGACCGAGCCGTTGCAGTACAGCGAGGTGGTACAGTGGAGGGCAGAGCTGGAAGGCGGAATGGGAGGGGATAGACAGAGTGACTGAGAGCGGTCAAGCCGTAATTTGAAAGTTTCCACGCCCATGGAATGCATAAGAAGAGCTTGAGCAGCCTGTCCAATATCTGAGCAGAGAAAGTGAAGGGGATATGACCCATGATAGTATCTTAGTATTGTAGCAGGGAGTTAGCTCCGTTGTCATCATGAACTTCCCGTGTCCTCGTCACTCCCTCGGTTCCGGGGTATCTCTCAATCTGCATTTTGCCAGCCCTTTCTGGTGTGCTTCATCTACTCCTCAGGAGCCAGGACGACCTTGGGCGATCTGTCCCTCCCGTCGCCCAAAGCACTAGCAATGTCTGCTTTCCGACCCGTCCAGTCCTCCTTCTCTTCTTCTTCGATCTCTTTCCCTGTCCGCTCTCCTCGCTTGTGCAGTTCTCGCTCGTGTTCGGCCTCTTTCGCCCCCAGGTTCTCTGTCAAGCTGTCCTGTTCCCCGTGTCCGCCGCCACCGCCTGAGCGCACCGCCCTGGCCACATCGCCCTCGCCAGGCGCCCGCATCTGCTCGCCCTCCAGGTTGCTGTCACCCTTTGCATAGCTTTGCTCATCCGATTCCGGAATTAATTTCTCGGTGAGCGGGCCGCGCTCCCCACTCCCTAGAGCACCTGGCTTCGCTGCTTCACCATGTTGAGAAGGTACGTCATGGGGGGTGCGGCGATCGACAGTTCTGTCTGATGCGTTCGAAGTGTCGTGGGAGATGGATTCTTCAGCAGAAGTCTTTGATGCAGGATTCCACACCTGGTTGAGTCCCGACTGCTGGGTCGGCTGCGATGGCGCGGTTGGGTCAAGGGATGACATTTTCGCGGCCAGGTATGATAGTGTTGCCTCAAGGTTTGGTAAGCCACAAGATAGGACAAAGAAGAGGTAGTTGTTCCCGCAAAGATACGCCGTGAATTTATGGTACAGGGTGAAGCTTGTGACACGGTGATGTGTCCAAACTATGACGTCGTCACAACTAAAGTCTATCCAAAACCCTCACTCGTTAGCCGTCGTACAAAGACACTGGGCTCGCTTTCTGAGAGCTGAGAGACTTGTAGATCAAGACGGGCAGATCACAATGATGTTCAACAGCTGTAGCTATTTCTACCTGAGTTTGCGACTTGTGATGTATGACTGTATCACCATTGTCCAACACCAGTGACGTCACTTTCTCAATTGATTGGCATGTGCTCTGCACGTGATATACAGCCTTGTTGCTCACATGCTTACATAATGAAGGCTGAGGGAAATGCCCATGGCGAAGGGGGTTGTTTTCTGTGCAAGAAGTATGACCCCCTATCTGCATCAATCGCTGAAAGAAGGCTGTAAACAGACCACTGAGCCTGGTATGTTGTTGTCGGCAACTTGGCCAGTTGTCTTAACAAAGGTCTGAAAACCCAGGACAACGTCTTTAGAGCCACGGTTCCGTACCTGTAATCATAGGCCAGCGTAACCATATCGGCGACGACATCATCTCGCGAAGGATGGAGCAATACATGCGCGGGTCTGTCTTCACACGTCCTGTGTTATGCGGACTATTCTGTCTGCCAGCTTGGCACGTATATTTTGGCTCCCACGTTGTCCTGCTCTTTATCTGACCGTCTCCCAAATACCTTCTTACCACTTTCCCAAACTCATCTGATCTGGGTGTTAGAAACCATTCAACCCTCTTCAACCCTGGTTAAGGCACGGCCATTCTCCCCATCTCACCGGAGCCTCCAATCTGACTCTCAACTTAGACTCGTTGCCGGCTGCTTAAGATGTCGTTGCCCTTGCCCACCCCGGCTGAGTACGCAACTTGACTTCCTCACGTTTTCATCACTGACTCTGTGCCAACAGGATAGCTCAAGCGGAAGCAGTTCTGGAGAGGGAATACCGACCACTGGAGAGAGCAATGACGCAGTTTGTTAGGGCAAACAAAATCGTCAAGCGCATCAAATATCATCTGAAGGAACCATTCATTAGTCAAGCGGTTAGTGGCAAATGCCCTCACAAACGGCCGCAATACTCATGTAACCACCTAGGTCATCACGTCCAACCGGGCTCCACAGGACAGCAGCTTCTTGGAGCTTCCCTTGGAAATCAAGCTGAACATTTGGAAACGCCTTCCCACTGTCGCAGATCGCCTGTCGCTTGCATTGACTTGCAAAGAGAACGCGGAGATGTTCGAAGACATCAAGGATGTTAGGCTCAGAGATGGAATAAGCTTCTTGCTTCCCAAGCCACAACGAACAACCAGAGTCCACCGCCTTCAGGTTCTCGTCCGTCTGCAGACCTGGGTCCCGGACGATTGGCGCCTCTGCTACCGATGTGGCCAGTACATCAACCTGTCGGATCCTGTGAATGCAGGGCCATGGGGAGGAGATACCAACATTGTATCCAATGGACTGGCAACCGACAGAGCCATGAGGGAAGGACCACGTTGTGCTCTCTGCATTGCGGCAGACCACGTTGAGATGACCAGGCACAAGAATACTTACAAGAAGTACGTGAAATTGGCAAACAGTGTTCGTCTGCACTAAGCAAGTGTGACTGCTACGTCTTTGCGTGATCTCCTGCAAAGCAAGAATGGCCTCATAGTAGGAGACGCAGAGCCTAATCAAAGAAATCGAGCTCAGGGAGTCAGGGCGAATGTCAGATGTCGAACAAGCCTAGGAAGTGGCCAACAAATGCGCAGAGCCACGTGCAGAACCACGTGCAGGCGGGTTGGCGACTGTCCATAGTTGATTTGATGCATTGCATCCTAGCTTTCCAAAACTGAGATAAATGTTCTGATGAGATCACGGCTCCGAAGCTCGAGGTTTTGAAGCGGCTTGCGCGCCATCAAGGCGATCCATGAATGGCCGATAAGGCGCTGCCACCGTTTGGGGCAAGGGTTGGTCTGCACGGCCCTGCATATCTTCAGTGTACCCAGGATAATGTTGTTGCACTTCGTGGATACGATCCAGGGCCTCGCCGACGACGTGGTACTTGGCCCATTCCACCGGTGGACTTCGCATAACATTTTGTGCACTTGGGAATCTGCCAAATTTGGAGCCATCTCTAGCGGGAGTCTCATGTTCTAGACTCTCCATCTCGTCTACCTCAACTCCTTGCCGCGGAGGACCCGTCAGTTTGCCCTCCTGGAGGTCTTTAACGAATTGCTCAGGGTCTTCCATGGCCGCTTGTTTCATCTTGTCGAGATCTCGCATATCCCTCAATGCTTGTTGCCGCTGCAGTTGCAGGACAGACAGTGTTGCTCTCAATGCCATGGCATCCGGATTATCGTCAAGGTCGATGGGTACTGGGTCGGGCTCATCCATGAATTGAGAGGGTGGTAATTCCACCCGATCATCATCTTGCGCCAGACTGGTGTGAGATAGTGTGGGCGTTACAGGCGAATAAGAAGGTCGCTGCGGGCTACCGCTAGACTCGTGCTCATGCTCATTACGGCCTCCCGGGATCGAAATGGGGTTGCTACCCTGCTGCTGATGCTTGGTGGGCTCGGGCATGATCAATTTGAGACGGACACTAGTCGGCTGGAGAGGAGGATGTGGTGGATGAGCGTCGGCTGGCATCAAAGCTGAAACTTTGGCCTGGTACCGACGCTTGGAGGTTCCAGTGGGGTGGAATGGGCTGTGCCTGGTAGCCGAGAGAGCGCCGCTGACAGCTGATGCAAGGTGCTGGATCTGAGACTCGAGATCAAACCTCGTGTTCTCGTGTTGAAAGGGGCTGGGAGCGACAGCTGAAACCTACACATGTAGGGACTGGCGGTTGGAGGCGGTGGCAAGAGCAGAACACGGCCACCAGCACGTGTTTCTGTAATATTGTGTGATCAATTCCAGACTACACAGCACTGCAAGCAGAGTATTCTGACTGTTGCTTTTCACTGTCGGTCCAGAGCATTGTGTTTGATAGGACAAACGATTAGACGTGCCCTTCTTGCCTTGTTGGCCGGCGGCGATGACGATGACAACGCGTTCCTTCCTATTGCTATATTTACCTAGCACCACTAGGAGGTACCTCACTAATTAGCACGGATTAGGGTGACATTTGAACCCGAACACCTCGTATAAAGCAGCGAGATCAGCGCCGAGACCAAGTGGGAGACTTTTGTCTGACTAAAAGCTCGGTATGTTCAAGCCCAGTCCCAGCACGTACTTGTGCGGAGCAATCGCCCCGGAACTGCACAAGTCAATCACTACGCTATCCGGAGGGTTGTGGCAGGGATCTCACTGCACGCAGCCAGATTCAGCATTCCTTGACAGAACGCCAACAGGGATACAAGCTTCCATTATTCGCGCATTCTCTGCCATCTCCCTCTCCCTCATTACCATTTGCTTTGTAGCACCCACCGCATCTCTCTGCCACGTGTGAGTCCGCTGCAGGGCCTTCGCAGGGTGTGTGCAGGGGCTGAATCTGCGACTGACCAGGGGACGGATCAATCTATGACTGATCCGTAGACACTGCAGACTGCATTTTTGTGTCAACGTCAAAGACGCATACCTCTCTCTACCTCTAAACCTCTAACCTCCTCAGGAGGCTTCTACAGTGAGATGCAACGCCACTCATTCTATCGGAATGCCAATTCACCCCAGTGGCCACACCCTACAAGGATGACTGCATATGCCAGCAGGTGTGTTAAAAAGCCAATTCTTGGAAGACATGCGTTACTGGCCCTCTCAAACATGTCGATGCACCGAGTAGTAGCGAGTAAAAAGAAGCGAGAGGCACAGCCATATGGCTGAGGCAGGGATGTGGCTTCCGGGGAACAGCACACGCAGTCTCGATGTCACCATGTGGACGGGGGTCGTTGCAGGGGCTGTGAGAAGGTCCTGAGCCTAAGCCCTGAGGCCGTGCCCTGGTAGACGTCCAGCATCAGCATCCTGGAACGTTGACCAGCCGTACTTCGTCTTCTTACAGCACTCGTTGTACGAAGTATTTACTGTAAGCCCTACATAGTACACTGTAGACACTGAGATGGGAAGGCCAAAGTCCAGCTGAGCCCGAGTGAGCCGCAGTTACCGTTACAGTAGTACCTGTACGGATAGGACAGTCTGTTCCTGAGTGCTGGCCAAGGCGGAGTAACACGAGCTTGACCGCAGCTTTCTGTCTGCCAGTGTCCTTGTCCTTTTTACGTGAGTCTTGACTTCTGTCTCGCCCCCTTGGAGCCAATCGAGCGTGAGAATCAACCTCGAGCTGAACCGCAGCGGAGCCCTTTCAGCACTACAGCAGAATAAGAATTTACAATTACTTGGTCAACGCGTGACGCGAATCGCTCTACCACGTATCTCCCCAGCTCAGCCCGCCATCCGAATCGCCGATGATGGTCTTTAGGCTATCTAGGTGCCTACAGTAGGTAAGAACTCGGGTCTCTTAAGCCTGTTAACCCACCGGCAAGAGCCGCTCTACTTAATTTCCATGCTCACGCGATGGATGATCTCCAGATGACCATGCTACATACCCTGAGGCTGTCACTTGTATTTACTACACATTTTTCCGCTTCCCTACAACGGAGACACGCCTATGACCTCGACGTTTGTTTGCTTCTACGCTCCTCAGTTCATGCGCCAGGCTTACATTGAGACCCCTCCACCTCCGCTTATCCATTTGGCGAGACCTGTTACCGCCCTCCACCTCGTCCTCGTCTTCGTCGCCGTCATCGTCGCCATCTCAGTGCGCTCGCCACCCTCGCCACACCACACCTGGCCGTTAAGAGACGGACGGATTTGTCTTTCCACGGTCGCTATACTCAAGCTACAGGACACACTTACGAGATATTGGCCGGTTTGTGTATGGGTAACCTTTGTCATGTCACCATAATCGCTTGTACTTCCTGCATCTGTCTGGAATTGATCCAGCAATGCAAAGGAATGTCACCAACTCTTCACGGCTAGCTAGTTCCTCAACTGGTATGTCAATGTCGCCTAATCGAGGTCCTTCCCCAGCAGAGGGAGGGCCTCAGAAACCACTTCGGGAGCTGGAGAACGTGAACAAGCCTTCTGTGGGAGATCGTCCGGCTGTCGAGGAAGAGGCTGGCACAAGTGTGCAGATCACCGACAACGCCGAGGCCCAACCAGAGAAACCTCGACGTACAATACGGCAGATTCGAGAAGCTGCACAAAGCAAGACTCAGGCGAAGCATGACTCTCAACTTACATCGCTCCCTCCGCCGCCGGTGCCACCGCAAAAGAAGAAGTCTTCGATCTTGGGCGGGCTTTTTCAGGTTCGAGAACCAACACAACTGGCCTTGAATCAGGTCGCCGCGCAAATGGTTGCTCAGCATGGATCAACAAGTGCCACCAAGGTGCCCAATGTGCGCCTTGAGAAAATGCCGGAATTCGTGCCCAAAGTCAACTCGAAATGGGATGGAATTCCCGAGTCCGCCAAACAAAAGCAGAAAAAGGAAAAGGAGCGAGCCAGCGCATCTGGATCCCGCAGCAATCGTCCAAGGGCTGGGAGTCGTGACACAAGAGACGGAGAACGGAGAAGTTTGCATAGTCGGAACTCGAGCTCGACAACCGATTCGTTTGCGAGCCGAGGCAGATCAAGCGGATCACACACGGCTTCTGGCCGTACTCGGTTTTCCGTCCCATCGGCCAACTCATCTGGTGATCTGGCATCGCAGCGGCGAGTGGATCGGTCTCTGGCGCCAACAGAGCCCGTAGGCACTCCGTCCTCCTTCAACCAGTCCAAGGCCAATTCAGCAGAGAGCCTCCCAGAGGTCTCGGCAGATCCACGAGAGGTTAAGACTATACTCGGTCCCAACAATGCATCAAATCGGTATCCTGATCGCGAAAGTAACAGGTCGAAGGCGTACACCGATGACCAAACCACTCCGCGTTGGCTAGGATCGTCTACGGCACAGCCAACTCCCAGCATCCAGGCAGTGCCTGCACACTCTACTTCGCCGATGCCCACTCCTCAGGAGCTCTCTCCAGTAAAACCTACCGCATTTGACCCTCAGCTCAGTCGCGGCCAAACAAGGTCTGGTATGCCCCAGCAAAATGTCGCTCTGACGTCCTCCGGCGTTGGAGTTCTGAGGCCGCCGGCAGTCTCAAAGACGAAAATACCGAATGCCTCGACCAATGGATTTCTTGCAGGAGAGGCGCAGGAATTGACTATACCAGACAACAAGACTGGCACTCACCAAGCGAATTTGCCGTCTCACGATAGGGAAGAGGGCAGACGCAAGACTGCCAACTCCGCGCCCCCTAGTTCTCGCAAACAGAAAGACCTTGAGAAACGACCGGATAGTTCTCGGGCCAGACTCGGTCTTCAGGCAAGCATGCTTGTTGAAGAAGAAGAAGAAGAAGAAGCCAGCCCCTGGCAAGTGCAGGACAAGGAGCAGGCTTCCGTGTCATCCCCCAAGGCTAAGGCTGCCATTGCGAGTTCGCGAACAGCTTCAAGTCCGCGGACGAAATTCAATAGACCCTTTCCTTTCTTTGGCAAGGACAAGGACAAAAGTTCGGCATGACTTTATTACTTGCTGGACAATGTTGTGTACCCGGTCCTGTGAAAATTGCCATGTAGCGAAGGATTCATGGATGGCTTACGTAGTTATGATGCTGGCGTGGCGTCGGGGAGTTCTTGTGATATACCTCCTATCCACGACTTATGATCGATGGGAACATTACTGACCGATCTCTTGAGGCATGTCGAGACTTATAAGACAGAAACGCTCATGCCCTGTTAGCCTCTGGAAGGGAGGTCTCACCTACAGTAGATGGATAGGTATTATAATCTGATACAACTATAATCTGATACAACTATAATCTGATACAACTATAATCTGATACAACTATAATCTGATACAACCCGCCTGACCTGTTGACGCCGTGGCGTGACATCTGAAATTCCACCCGTACAGAACCAAATAATTTTCTCCGCAAACTTGGCTACAACATTTTGATAAATTTAAACAGACCCTCAGAGCACGCTACAAGATTCGCCTCGCCATCTTGCATTCGGCCAGACTCTCGCCGGTACATAATGAAGCGCAAGTTGGATGCAGAACAGGAATCTCCTGTGAAAAAGCGCAGCATCTCTAGCCATCCCACCAACGGATTCAAGTCCGCCTTTCGACCCGACCTTTTCGAAACCGAGACTGTCCAATCCTTCCGACAGAGCTACGAAGCCGCAGGCCCATATCCCCACGCCGTAGTACCCTCTCTGATCCAGGAACATCTTCTACGCTCTGTCCGCAACGAGATTGTCAGCCACATCCACTTCACCACCAAAGAAACAGACATCTATCGCATCCACCAGTCGGGCGACCTTGCGAACCTGTCCAACCTCGATAGCGAGTCCCTGCAACATCTTCCCAATTTGGTCCGCCTTCGAGATGCCTTGTATAGCTCCGAATTCCGAGAATGGGTGTCCACCGTCACTGGGGCGGGCAAGGTGTCGGGCAAAAAGACGGACATGGCGGTCAACGTCTACACACCAGGCAGTTACCTGCTCTGCCATGATGATGTGATTGGAAGCCGAAGAGTCAGCTACATCCTATATCTGACCGATCCAGATCATCCCTGGCAACCCGAATGGGGAGGTGGTTTGAGGCTGTTTCCTACGGAAACCAAGAAAAACAAAGCCGGCGAGGACATCCAGGTCCCTCTGGCAGAACACAGTCTAACCATTCCTCCGGCCTTTGGACAGTTGAGCTTCTTCGCCGTCCGCCCTGGAGAAAGCTATCACGACGTTGGGGAAGTCTACTATGGACCCGACCTCGATGCCGATGGAGGGCGAATCCGTATGGCCATCAGTGGATGGTTCCACATCCCACAAGAAGGCGAGGATGGGTTCGAGGAAGGAATCGAACAAGCACAGGCGCAAAAATCCAGCCTTGCTCAATTGAAAAGTGCCGCGACCGAATTTGACGAGCCGCAACTGATTTTCAGACATTTCGACGAACCCAGAACAGTAATGGATAGTCATGCGTCCGAGAAGGAAGTCGACCCAGGGGACGATCAGGACGACCAAGACGACGAACTCACCGAGCAAGACCTGACCTTCCTTCTTCACTATATCTCGCCGAGCTACCTGACACCGGACATGATTGAGGACTTTTCAGCCTCGTTTGTAGAGATGTCCGTGCTTCAACTCGAGCAGTTTTTCAGTTCGAGATTCGCCGATGAGCTGAAACAATACATCTCCGAGGTTGAAAACCAGGGGCTTGATGCAGCGCCGTCTCCATCCAAGTCTCACCCTTCGAATTGGGCAGTGGCGCGGCCTCCCCAGAAGCACCGATTTGCATACCTTCAAGGGGCCGAGGCGCTACATCGAGACAAGACCCCCATATCCCGCATCCTAACCGACCTCCTGCATTCCCACGCGTTCAAAAAATGGCTGGCGCTAGTTACGGGACTGAAAACGAAGAGCCTGGTGCGCCAGAATGCAATCGCCAGGAGATTTCGACGCGGAAACGACTACGCATTGGCAAATCCCTATCTGGGTGAGCAGCCACAGCTGGAATTCACCATCTCGATCACGTCCAGCGGCGGGTGGGAGCGGGACGAGCGCGAGGATGGAGACGAAGAGAGGCCGGAAGATGATGGCGTCAAAAAGTCCAACGGAGTGGTTGGAGACAATGACAAGGGCAAAGGGAAAGGGAAAGCCCACGAGGTCCCAAAAGTCCAGGTCACGACGTCTGAAGAAATCGACTTCGGCGGCGAGGAGGTCTATATGGCAGGCGATGACGACGACGGCGACGACGACGATGACAAAGCTTCCGTCCACTCCAAGTCCCTTCCCAGCGTGGGCAAAAAGGCCGATCCAGCCATCTACAAGTCCTCTGGTGACGATGAGGACGACGGGATCTTGTTTGCAAATCCCGCAGCTTGGAACCGGTTCAGTGTTGTTCTGAGGGACAAAGGAACGCTGAGATTCGTCAAGTATGTGAGCCAAGCGGCCACGGGGGACAGATGGGATATCAAAGGGGAGGTCGAGGTTGGAGAGGACGCCTGGGATGACGAGGATGGGGATGGGGATGAGAATGCGAACGGCGAGGCAGGGCCAAGTGGCGAGAACGAGAACGACAGCGGAGAAGATGAAGATGACGATGATGAGGAGGAGGAGGAAGATCAACCAGGCGAATGATCATGCTCGTGGCTTGGTATCAGTAGAGTGGAGGTCTATCTACCGTAATGTATGCTATGTAGATGATACCACGATCTTCCACAACTCCAATCCAATCTAATCTAAGTCAAACCTCAAGCCCTAGGCCTCAAGCCCTAGAAAATCCCTAACATAAAAAGAGTTATAAGAAGGCTATACAATACGAGTGTCCTATGCTGTGGACTAATATGATGGATGGTAGGGCGATCCGGATCGTAGTACACATAATTACCTAGAACTACTAGAGCAAGAGTAATATATGATTGATTGTGATTATGCCTTGACATTCACCTCTTCTTGTCCTATTTCATCTACGGAGTTTCACCTCTCCTTGTCCCATTTCATCTACGGGGTATATATGTATCGATCGACTTGAACTACGTATCGCGAGAACGAAATATCGAGGGTAGCAAAAGGAAATGGAAATGGAAATGGAAATGGAAATGCGTTTTCCTCTCCCACGGCTAGCGGCCAAAGGTAGTTCAAGGCATGGCATGGCTTACGGCAAAAGATACACGAAAACAACCCTGGCTGTCCCCCATCATGAATTGAATTGGCATGTCCCCAAGTAGGTACCTAGGTAGTAGTGGCTTCAAACGTGAGCAATGCCACCTTAGGGTCAGCCACTCAAACAGACACCCGGTTGAGACTCGACTCATCCACATCAAGACTTCGCAGTTCGCATCAATTCGTAAAACAATCCCGTCTATCCCAGGCGCCCAGAGTGCCGCCAAACCGTTGGCCATGATTATTTTTGTCGAGGGCGGACAAAATGACGGATCATGCGGCATCGTCTATCTTCATTTCATCAATTTGGACCATGTCCAAGATGCAAGTGGTAGAAAGGCCTAATGTCTCGCCGTGCCATGTGGAGCGAAAACAACAACACGACAGACGGTTCGAACCGGATGCGACACCATCTTTGTGACAAACACGACACAAGCTTTAAACTTGGCCCGTGGAAACCATCTTCTTCCGGAGATGATTCTTGTACTCGCCAATGGTGCCGTCCCATCTTCGCACTGTCTTGTTCTCACACACCATGATGTCTTTGGCGATTTTGTCAAGCAACCTGAGTAGACTCGTTAGTTTTCATGTTTTCACATGATAAGGATTCTGAAAGTATGTGAGACTCACCTGAAATCGTGGGAAACCACAACCACACCACCAGAAAAGGCGTTGATGGCATCGGCCAGGGAATCAATGGTAGGGATATCAAGACCGTTGGTAGGCTCGTCCAACAACAGCATGTTGGGACCTTCAATGGCCAAAAGTGCAAACACCACTCGAGATCTTTGACCCTCCGACAGAGTACCCATCAAAGCCGTCTGAGATTCGCCAGAGAGACCATATCGTCCAAGTTGCTGTCTCCAATACTGGTAGTCCTGTGATGTGGACGCATACTTGTCACGGACGAAATCGAGTGCTGACTTGGTCAAGTCCAGTTGCTCAGCGGAATGCTGCGAGTAAAGTCCAAGTTTGAGATGAGTGTGCCTGCTGACCGACCCGTTGGTCGGACTGAGTTTGCCTGTCATGAGTCGAAGCAGAGTCGATTTACCGACACCGTTGGGCCCGACAAGAGCCGTTCTGCTATCCATGTCAACACCTAGATCGAGGTTTTCGTAGAGATTGTCCTCTGCCTTTCCGGAATAGCTGAATGTGACGTTGTCGAAGGACAAGACTGGAGGCGGCAGCTTCTCGACATCGGCGAAGCGGAAAGTGAACACTCGATCGGTTGCCACGGGTTGGATAAAGCCGTCGGCCTCCATCTTGTCCAAAATCTTCTGTCTTGATTTGGCTTGTCGGACCAGGTTGGCATAGGTACCAGCCGAGGCAATGAACTTCTTGATATGGGCGATTTCGTCTTGCTGCTTGACGTACGCCTTCTGTTGGTTGACCTCCTGCTCGCTTCGAGTCTTTGCGTAAGAGTCGTAGTTACCACCATAATAGATGAGACTCTTTTGTCTCATATCGATCATGTTGGAACAGACGCCGTTCAAAAAGTCCATCGAATGGGAGACCAAAATCAAAGTCTTGTCCCATTTCTTCAAGTATTCTTCCAACCACACGCAGGCTTCGAGGTCAAGATGCGCCGTCGGGTCGTCGAGCAGCAGCAAGGACGGTCTGACAAAAAGGGCTCTTCCGAGTGCGACACGCATTTTCCAACCACCTGACATGTCTTTGGTCTTTTTGTGTATGGTCTTTTTGTTGAACCCTAAGCCGGTCAGGATGAGGGAGGCTCGGACTTCGAAGGTGCTCGGATCCATGGCTTCAGAACGCTACTATTGTCAGTACACGGCATGGCGCTGGGCCCTGGGGAACCAGCTTACCTCATAGATGTCCATCAAGGCGGGGCTTTCGGGGCCATCCTTTTCCAAGATCTCTTCCGCCAGATCATCCAACCTCTTGACTTCTTTTTCTGCCTCTTTGATGACCCACTCGAGGGCTCCGAGTTCGGTGGCCGGCGCACCCTCGTTCAGGAGATAGATGTCGACGTGCTCTGGGAAGGGGTACTCTCGCGCGGCGATGGCCTTTAGCAGGGTAGACTTGCCACAACCGTTTTCACCGAGCAGACCGTATCTTCGTCCAAAGTTGACTTCAAGAGTCGAATCCTGAATGAGCACTTTGCCATGGAAGACCAGCGAGCAAGAGGTAATCTTGACGTCTCGACTTGCCTCCTGGGAGGCAAGAACGCCGGTTGTTACTCGGTCTGATAAGCCGTGTTTGTCCATCTGTTCGGTCAATTTCTTGACCTTATCCATCTTGTCGGAGGTGGTTGCGGGGGCATCTAGTTCATCCTCATCGAGCATAGGCGAGCCGTCATCGCCGGCGACTGACGAGGTTTTGGAGCCATTGGTAGATGCGTTCTTAGATGATAGTTTGGAGGCTGCCGTCTTCTTGTCGCCTTTCTCGGCCTTTTTGGCAAGGCGAGCGGCCTTTGAAGCAGAAATCGGGGCCATGCTGGGCTGACTGGAAAAATGTCGCTGAAAGGCGAGATAATCAGGTGGTTGTTGGGCCCTGATAGTCAATACCAGTTATGGGTCGTAGGGTAGCAGGGTAACAGCGCCGTCCTGGGTTCTCCGGAATGAAGGGATGCAGTGGGAGGAACCAAGCTGCAATGGGTGTGAACTCGGAGGATCTAAGAAACAACGAAAATCGAGAACAGCAGATAGTGAGGCTAAAAGTATCAGGCCAGCGGTGGGGGATTTGGCAAGTTGTTGGAAAGTCACAGGCCTTTCGAATGAAAATTTGGGGCGCCGCCTTTTGCCCGCCAACCACCAAACACGTCACATGTGCCAAGACCAGCAGCACTGGCGGGTGGCGCAGAGGAGCCAGTGCTGCTCCGTACAAATACTACGGAGTATTACAGAGTAATAGCAGTACGATGGCGGCAAGGCTGGGTCGAGAGGCAAGGTCAGTACTAGGACTGCAGTGTACGAGGTACTACGACAAGGCTTGCCCCTTGATGACTGTCCTGCGAAATGGGTTATCAGTATCTGGTTTGTCGACAGCGGACCTACACCTCGTCCTTGGTTTGGCACTCGATTTCGGCGGACGGGTTGTCAAGTCTTCCTATGCACTTGGCGAAAAGAGACATGGACGTACTCCTCATTCTCAGATCATATCATTCTGCATTAACACCAGATATGAATGCTATCTAGTCCTTTGTTCATCTCGCCATACATGTAAGGAGCGACAGCAGTTGGGACATGTCGGCGTCTTCTTGCATTTTGTCCCTGGAAGCAGGTCAGGGGTTCTCATTTTGTGCGTTCGTTTCACTCATTATGCGTAATAACTCCTCTTCCATCCTGTAGCACTTGGTGCACCTGTGCTGTAGCCATAGCTGGCCCATGAAGCGCCTGTGGTGGTGCTGATAAGTGTTGGGCCGACTTCGCTACATGATCCCGTCCCAATGACCGTTGTAGTCGCAGTCACAGTCTTGCCAGCTCCCGGTAGGGTCACGGTCACAGTACTGCCAGCACCCGGTTGGGTCACGGT